ATTTATTTCTTAATATTCATTTCAGATTATTTACTTTTGGGTAAAGTAAAACAACTATATTTTTGTGTGCTGCTCTCATACCCTTCAACTTTGCAAGAATTCATTTTTTAGTGCTTGTAGCTTTCTTGTATATTCCTTGTGATTTTCTATAAGTAGGGTTATATTGTTTGTGAAAAGGAATAATTTTATTCCTTCCTTCCCAATTTGGATGTGCTTCATTTCTTTTCTTTGCCTAATTGGTCTGCCTAATAGTAACTCATCTTAAAACCAAAAAAAGTTCAGCTGAACTAGTAAAAAATGTCTACCTGTACATTATGCTCTTTTAAGCTCTATCTATATGGGAACAAAGTGACAACAGCAACTTGAAAGTATGATAGGATCTTTAAGGATCAGTAAGTTTATGTTAATGAAGGAGGAACAACTCAGAAAAGGAGGGTGAGAATAGTTGCACAACTTGGGGAACGTAATCAATGTCACAGAATTGTACATGTACAAATGGTTGAACTGGCGTATGTTTTGTTGTGTATAGTCTCAAGAACAACAAAATAAAATTTTAAAACTAACTCTACACACACAAACACACACACACACACACCACTCCCTCCCTATCCTGGTAACCATCAAAGAATGGTTCTTTCAGAAATCACTAGTAATAATCAATAGATCTTGATTGCATGTTTAGTCAATTTCAGGCTGCAGAAGTTGATAAAATCTTCAATCACATCATCTTTGGCTTTAGTGGTTGGTGTGTGAATTTGAATAACAGAAGTAGTAATTGGTCTTCCTTGTATGTATATGAATACTATCTCATCATTTGCAGAACTGCACTTCAGAACAGATCTTGAAATATTCTATTTGATGATGAATGTGATGCAATCCCTCTTCAATATCTCATTCCTGGCATAGTAGACCACATGATTGTCTGATTCAGAAAGGCCAATACCAGTCCAACTCTGATGCACACTCTTCCTGATTTTAAACCATGCAGTATTCCCTTGTTCTGTTCAAATGTAGTCTCTTGGTCTATGTACAGGAGCCTCATGAGCACAATTAGGTGTTCTGGAATTCCCATTCTTCATAATGTTATCCATAATTTATTATGGCCTACACAGTCAATGCCTTTTCATAGTCAATAAAACACAGGTAAACCCCTTTCTGGTATTTTTTGCTTTCACCTAAGAGCCATCTGGCATCAGCAATGATATCCTTTTCGTTCCATGTCCTCTTCTGTATTCAGCTTAAATTTCTGAAAGTTCTCTGTAAATATACTTCTCCAACACATTTTGAATTATCTTCAGCAAAATTTTACTTGTGTATGATATTAATGATATTATTCAATAATTTCTGCATTCTGTTGGGTCACTTTTCTTTGGAATGGGCACAAATATGGCTCTCTTCTAGTTGGCTGGCTAGGTAGCTATTTTCCAAATTTCCTGGCATAAATGAGTAAGCACCTCCAGTGCTGCATCAATTTTTGAAACATCCAAATGGGTATTCTGTCAATTCCTGGAGCCTTGTGTTTCTCCAATTCCTTTAGTGCATATTCATCATTACTCTTTAATGTTGCATAGTATTTCATTGTGTAGGTACCATTTTGTTCATTGATTCCTCTGTTGATGGGCATTTAGGTTCTTTCCATCATTTTGCTGTTCTGAATAGTGCTATGATGAACATCTGTTTGCATCATGGCTCTTATTTCTCTGGTATATACACCTGTAGTGCAAAATTGCTGTATCATATGTGTGCCATAGTGCCTAAGGCATTTGACTGCTAACCAGAAGGCTGGCAGTTCAAACCCACTAGCCACTCTTTGGAAGAAAGGTTGGGCAATCTACTTCCATAGAGATACCACCTCGGAAATCCAAGGAGGGGTTGCTATGAGTCTAATTTACTCAACGGCAGTGAGTTTTTTTTTTTTTTTTGGATGTGTGGTAGTTAAGGTTATGTGTCAACTTGGTTGGGCCTGGTTTTGAGTGGCTGGGCAGCTGCATGTGGTGAGAGTGGTAATCAACTTCATGGTAGAATCTACTGGAGTAGCTGCCTTAGGGATGTGATCTGCTTCCAGTGCATAAGAAGCAACTTTGAGGAAGATCTCTAGCTTATGGCATGCTTGAATCCTATATGTAGCCAAGCCATTATTCAGCAGCCTGTCATGTTGTCTGCTGATCTCAAGACTCTTAAATCAAACCAAAGCAAAGGCACTTCTGTCGAATCAGATCCCACTCATAGTGACCCCTGCTTGGGTTTCCAAAGTGGTATCACTACAGAAGTAGATTGCCCAACCTTCTTTCTGAGGAGTGGCTAGTAGGTTTGAACTTCCAGCTTTCTGGTTAGCAGTCAAATGCCTTAGGCACTATGCCACCAGAGCTCTTTTGGGACTCTTAATGGACAGAATTAGTGCCCTGCCATGTGGTTTGGTGATATTGAGACTGTGACTTTTTACTTGTCAGCCATAGGTTTGTCAGCCTCAGCAGCCAGCAGTTGCCTAAGTGAAGAAAGCCTCCAGCTTCAGTGGGCCGGGAGCAAGAGGCAGAGCTGAAGCCCAAGGTTGAGGGGCTTTTATCTAGTCTGTAGAGGCTGGCACTTTGAACTTGGACTACTAGCCTCCAAATCTGCAAGAGAATAAACTCCTGTTTGTTCAAGCCATTCCATCTACAATATATTCCTGCCAGAGGGGCACAAGAGGTAACCAAAACAATATGGTATTACTATTTCCAACTTTTTAAGGACGTGTCATACCATTTCCAACGGTGGATGCATCATTTCACAGATTCATCAGCAGTGTATGAGGGTTCCAGTCTTTCCATACCCTGGCCAGAATTTATTGTTTTCTTGTTTTTATGAACTTTGCTATTAGTGCCGGGGTGAGATGATATCTCATTTTTGTTTTGATTTGCATCTTTCTAAGGGCTAATGACTCTGAGCATTACTTTATGTGTTTGTTAGGTGCCTGAATGTCTTCTTTGGTGAAGTATCTGTTCGTGTCCAATTTTTAAATTGGATTATTTGTCTTTTTGTTGTTAATTTGTTGAAGTTTTCTATAAATTTTAGATACTAGCCCCTTTTCTGATATGTTGTTGTTGTTATGTGCTGTCAAGACAGACTCGACTCATAGTGACCCCTCCTTGGGTTTCCAAGGCAGTATCACTACGGAAGTAGATTGCCCCATCTTCCTTCCGAGGAGTGGCTGGTGGGTTTGAACCATCAACCTTCTGGTTAGCAGTCAAGTGCCTTAGTCACTACACTACCAGAGCTCCCTTTCTGATATGGTGTTGCCAAGTATTTTTTACAATTCGTAGGTTCTCTTTTTACTCTTTTGGTGAAGTCTTTTGAGGTGCATAAGTGTCTAATTTTTAGGAGGTCCCAATAATCTATTTTGCCTTCTCATGTTTCTGTGTTTTTAGCTGCATTCAATGGTGTATTTATGTCCTAACAATAACAACAACAATTTTGTCCTTGTTTATTTTTTATTGTCTTAATGGTTTTAGGTTTTACATTTAGGTCTTTGCATGATCTACATTTTATAGATGAGGACAACTGAGACATTGAAGTTACACAGTGGGTAGGTTGCTCAAATGTATTCAAATCTAGATCTGTGAGACTCCAAATCTGTGCACTATCTACTATGCTATACTTCTATACAAGAACATTAAAGTAGATTTATAATATCCATCACTTACTTCATGGTATACAGCATGTAGAGGGTATCAGCTTGCTCCTGTAAGCTTGAACTCTCCTTTAATTGTAAAACCAATGTTTTGAAGTCCACCTCCCCAGATTGGTCTCTAGGAATATGTATTTCTACACGAACAGAGGGAACCTTTAGTTTGAGAAAGGAAGAAAAGAAATCAAGTCCACAAATGCTCAGTTGAAAGCCCTAGACTGAGTTGCCTATTCCTCCTTAAACCTTCTCCATAACAATTCTTTAAAGTTAATAAAAAGCAAAGGAAAAACAATTGTTTTGTTGTTAGGCTCCGTCAAGTCAGTTCTGACTCATAGTGACCTCATATATAACAGTATGAAATATTGCCTGGTCTTCTGCCAAAACTATTATGCTTTCAAGATTTATGATACATCAGTCTAATTTTCTTAAAGTCTGGCTGGAGATACCTGCCCACTTTAAAAGCAAACTAAAAAGAACACATAACTTCATCAAGATAACATTTTGCCCTGTACAAGTTACTAACAGAAACCATGATAGCTGGTTTTATACTTTTCAACAAGGATGGCAGTTTTGCAAAAAGCTGATAAAAATACCTTGTGTGCAATTTTACCTGGTTCTCCTGTGGGGGATGAGATGAGTCAAGTAAGTTGAGCGAAGGCCGGGAAGCCTGAAATAACTTCGTAGGAAGATACATGTGAACATCTGGAAAAGTATGAGATTTATGAGGCTTAGATAATTGCTAAAATGCACAGTTGACCTCAACAAAAAGCACAAGTCAGTTCTTTACAGAACAAAAATGAGAAATTTATCCTTTCTTGGTAATATCAAAGCAAAGATATAAATATTTGATAATCTAATGAATTTCCAATTGATCAATTTTGAATTGTATGTCTAGAATTTTGGCATCAGCTAGACATATAAGATACTAAATTCTACTAATGTAATCAATACCAGTGCTGTCAGTGATACTTTGGATACTAGCAGATAGGTTTCTTTTGAGAAAATATGAATGGATGATCCTATGTAGGGAATCAAATAATGCAATGGTTAATGAAATCTGAGATATTCCTAAGATTTTTAATTACAGTCCATTGTTGAAATACTTACCATAACCCCTAAGGTGAGTCTCTCTCATCACTTTCACCATTTTACAGATACCAAAAGAGAGACACAGAGTTCAAATAACTGTTCAAGCTAATAAGTAGCAGAGCTGGGAATTAAGCTCGTTTCCTGATTCACAATCTACAAGTACAACTTAATAAAGTTCATCTTTTTTCATAAACCCTTGCTCAAAGGAACATACTCAAAGGGTATTTCAAACTTTTTCCTCTTCTAGATATTAAATTATTTCTCAATGCTTATGTTTAATATCTTTGGTTAGTAATGGTCAATAGAGTTTTAGGTAGCAAGAACATGCATCACAATCATTCTCATTATCTGTAAAACATTAACATTCAAGTCCTTTAGATGTGGCCAAGGAGCCTTTCTCTCCCTTCATATGTTGCTACCATAAAGACATTGAACACTCCTAGGAAACATGGCTACTCCTGGCAATGTTCAGTAAAGGACATCCTCCACTATAAATACTACTGAAGGGAAGTCATGGAGAGGATAATGGGAAAATTGTTGAAGAATGAGTATTGTATTTGAAAAACACAGCTCTACATTCCTGGAACAACTGATTGTAAAAGTTACAGCTGACCTCACAGAATGAGATATAGGTTACTTAAAGGAGACTATTTCCCTCTCTATTGCATGGCTATTTTGCAATAATTTTGCAATGGTGTCTCTTTAAATAAAATCACTTCCAAAGTAGCAATTTGTCCAAAGGAAAAAACCTTTCCCACCATTTTAGTAGTAAAACAAACAAAAAAACCTCACTGCTATCAAGTTCATTCTAACTCAGAGTGACTCCCATTGAGTTTCCGAGGCTGTAAATCTTTGTGGAAGCTGACTGACCCATCTTTCTTCTGTGTGGAGCAGATGGTGAGTTTGAACCACTGACCTTTTAGTTAACAGCCAAATGCCTTAACCACTACACCACCAGAGCTCCTTATATACCATTTTAGTATACTGATGTTAAATTGAACGTGATCCATATCTATCGTTCTATCTCTTGTCACCATGTTACTGGTTAAACCAGGTCAAAAAGCACTATCCACAGAAAATTATACCCAATTCATTAATTTCACCAATATTTACTGGGTGTCTAATAGTTTCCATGTGTTGTCCTAGATGCTGGGAATAGAGCAATGGACAAAACAAAGTTCCTGCTTACATTGTAATTAATGTCCCACCCTCATCCTTATCTTCATGTTATTCTCTGCTTGACTCCTATGAGTCATGGTATTACTCACTCTGTACATGCAGGTCCTTGGCCTTGGTCACCAAGGACATTAAGTCGCAGGTTGTTTGCACAGCAGCTCGGAACCGATCTAGCCCTCCCTTCTGTGAGGTAGGGGGTAGTTTAGGATGGGGAGCAGTGTGGGCCAAAAGGTGATCTAAATAACGAGCAACTTCATCACCACAGCGAGCTGCAAGGTTAGTGGGGGGGGGGTTGGAGAAAAAAATGAACATTTTAGTACTTCATAATCTACTCCAGCAAAAAGAATGACTGGCTCCTGTGCCCATACTACAGCACCAGAAGTAGATTATTTCAAGCTCATGTTCTGCAATCTCATAGCTTTAAGATTCAGAAACTATGGCAAATTATTAAGACCTACCTGTTCTTCATCTTTGCTGAGACAAATTAGAGCCTTTTAAAGCAATATGAGCTTTTTATAGGACAGGTGGAGCACACATTTCATAATGTGTGTGTGCATGTGTGTGTGTGTGTGTGTGTATGTGTGATGGTAGTGGCAGTGGCACAAGTAGTGGTGAAGAAGCAAAGAAGATGGCTCTTCAAGTCCCACTCATACAATAAGAATTTTGTAGGGGAAGGGTCAGGGAAGGGCAAAAATCTTCCACCAAACATTGAGCCTAGTTAAAAATAGATTTCACAAATGTCAGCTACAGCTGTAAATGAAAGAGCAATCTTCATATAAGTATGGTATACAAAAGACTACTGGCCACACATTCATCTTTTTAGTTATTTCATTTTTTCATTCACCAGTATTTATTGGCTACTATGTACCAGGTGGGAGCTCTGGTAGCATAGTGCTTAAAGGCACTTGACTGCTAACCAGAAGGCTGGTAGTTCAAACCCACTGGCCACTCCTTGGAAGGAAAGTTGGGCAATCTACTTCCATAGTGATACCACCTAGGAAACCCAAGGAGGGGTCACTATGAGTAGGGGCCGACTTGACAGCACATAACATCAATAACAAAAACATGTACCAGGTGTTATACTAGGTACTGAGGTTTCAGTGGTGAAGAATATATAGTTCCTAAACTCTTAAGACCCTTAAGACAAATTCACTGCCTCAAGATACAGACTAATGGTCAAATACCAAAAAAGTGAATTCAAGTAAACCTTGTTTTAGATAGCTAGAAGAATAATTCTCTTATTGGAACCTATCTCTTTGGGGTTCAAAGAATTTAATGTTTGTCCTGCTGAGGTCAATATTTTAACTTTTTAGGACAGTGTTTCTAGCCATTTCTAATGCCTCCAAAATGTTTTCTCACTGTATCATCTTCATATTTCTAGAAGCATATAAGATTTTGTTGTGCTTTATTTTGTCTAGCTTGTAATAGGAAGACAATTTGTTGTTGTTGTTAGATGCTAAAGAGTTGGCCCCCAACTCATGGTGACCCTATGCACAATAGGATTAGAATGTTGTGATCCATAAGGTTTTCATTGGCTGATTTTTGAAAGTAGATCAGCAGGTCTTTCTTTGTAGTTTTAGTCTGAAAACTTGGCTGAAACCAGTCCAGCATCACAGCAACATGCAAGCCTCCATAGACAGACAAATTGTGGTTATGAGCTATGCTTGAGGTGCACTGGCTAAGAATCAAACCCAAGTCTTTCATACAGAAAGCAGAATTCTACCACTGAAAGACTACTGTCCTCTATGAAAATAATACACATTAGGACTTTTTGAAATATTTAGCCCAGTGGCAGGATAAAATATCAACATGTAAAAAGCAATTGGATTCCTCTGCACAAGCAAAGAGGTCTCTGGAAAGGAAATAAGGAAATCAATACCATTTACAATAGCTACCACACAGATAAGATACTTGGGGATAATTCCTATTAGGAACACAAAAGACCTATACAAAGAAAACTAGAAAATGCCATTCAAGAAACTATAAGAGATCTACACACCATGCTCATGGATAGGAAGACTGAGCACTGTAAAAATGTCAACACTACACAAAGCAATATATAAATTCAATGTAATCCCGATGCAGACTCCATCAACATTCTTTAAAGACATATACAAACCCGTCACTAATTTCTCATGGAAAGGAAAGAGGCCTCAGGTAAGCAAAACACTACTGAATAAGAACAAAGTAGGAGGTCTCATACTCCCAGATCTCAAAACCTACTATACAGCCACAGTAGTAAAAACATCCTGGTATTGGTACACAGATAGACACATAGAACAGTGGAACAGAACTGAGAACCCAGAAATAGATCTATCCACTTATGGTCAGCTAATCTTTGACAAAGGGCTGAAATCCATTAAATGGGTAAAAGATAGTCTCTTTAACAAATAGTGTGGGCAAAATTGCATATCCATTTGTAGAAAAGAAACAAGATCCATACTTCACACGATACAGAAAAACTAATTCTAGATAGATTAAAGACTTAAATGTGAAACCTAAAACTATAAAGATCATCAAATGAAAAATAAGGGGAATTCAACTTCCATAGTGATACTGCCTCAGAAACCCAAGGAAGGGTCGCTATGAGTCAGATCCAACTCCACTGCAGTGGTTGCATTGCATTTTTAAGCCAAAAAAAACCAAACTCACTGCCATCGAGTTGATTCCAACTCATAGCGACCCTTCCTTGGGTTTCTGAGGTGGTATCACTACGTTAGTAGATTGCCCAGTCTCCCTTCTGAGGAGTGGCTGGTGGGTTTGAATCACCAGCCACTTGTGTTTAGCAGTCAAACACCTTAGGCACTATGCCGCCAGACCTCCTAAGGGGAAACTTAGGGGCCCTAATTTATGGTGTAAATAGATTATCAAGCATAACCCAAAATGCACAAACAGTGGAAGATACACTAGATGATTGGGACCTTCTAGAAATCCTGACCAAGTGGGATTCATACCAGCTATGCAAGGATGGTTCAACATCAGAAAAATAATCAATGTAATCCACCACATAAACAAAACAAAAGAAGAGAATCATATTATTATATCAATAGATGCAGAAAAAGCATTTGATAAAATCCAACACCCATTCCTGCTCAGAACTCTCAGCAAAATAGGGATAGAAGGGAAATTTCTGAACATAATAAAAGGCATTATTTGCATAGTCACCAGCCAACATCATTATTAATGGAGAAAGACTCAAGGCATTCCCCTTAGGAATGGAACCAGACAGAGATGCACTCTATCACCACTTCTTTTTAACATTGTATTGGAAGTCCTGGCCAGGGCAATAAGGGTAGAAAGAGAAATAAAAGGCATACAAATGGGCAAAGAAGAACTAAAACTATCTCTATTTGCAGACAACACGATCCTGTACAAAGAAAATTCAAGAG